ACCCTCCTTAACCACTATACTAATCTTTGATCTAGCCTACTTGGTTAATGCTATTCATTTTCAAATTGTGTATCTAAGTTGTGTTACAAGCATGGTGAGGTTGAAACAGAATACACAAATAACTGTATTCAATCCGCGCCGTATTTGAAAACTGTAATGAATTAAAATCAATGTTGAAGGACGTAATATAAGTTAAATATATTGTTAAGCTAATTACTGTTTTATTGTGAAGGCAACTCTGGTGAACAGCGGCCTGTAGCTTTTATTTTGAAAGGCCGTTCCGGAAATATACTCCGTAATGTGAACAGTGAGTTTGACTTCCAGAAACACGGAAAGTTACGATAACAATCGTTCTAATGCATTCAATAAAGTCATGAAAGAGACAAGGAGGGGAAAAGGCGTGTGGAAGCAAGAAATGAACTGAAAATGCCACCAATCCTCTGTTTTAACGTGATGGCGGACATTGAAAACCGAAGCGGGCATAAGCACCCCTGTCTTACACATTAATAGATTCCTTCTGACTGACAAGCGTTCAAAAACCCTTCTGCTTATCACTTAGGCTACTTATTTTTGTTTTATTCATAACATAAAAATACAATTGTGATGAATAGCTTGCTCTTTTTCTGGTTGAAACAAAGGGTCTACTCTTCTTCCATAATTGACTTCGTATCTATTATCTGACTAAATTACTTGTATTTATTAATACACTGGACAAATCTTGTCGTCCTCTTCTTTTTTTTTAGTGAATTAAGGTACGGGACTTATAGCTATTTACCCGACTCTTACAAACACACGTGCCTTAGCTGCAGGACTGCATACCTGACTAAGCACTTTCTTAAAAATATAACTCGGTGCCTTAGGTCCGGACTGTTCTACCTGACTCTAAGCCCCTTCTTACTTTAGTGAGTTTAAGGTACTGGACTGCAATACCAGACTATTTACCAACACTTAGTGCCTTAGGTACAGGACTGATCTACCTGACTCTACAAACACTTTCTTCAGTATTGTATTTTTTACCATGACTAAGGACACTGAGAACGCCGCTGACAACTCTAAAAAATGTGTAGTATAGCCAATCACAGACTTTGACAATCAACAGGTGTCTGCTCACCTTTGTATCTGGACGTCCTGGTTTAGTTGTCAACGGTGTGCAGGTGTCCTCCCCTGGACTGAAATTCGTCCGCTGGCTGTCGGTGGTCCTTCTAGAGACCAGCACTCATCACGTCGGCAGGTCACCAAATTGTAGGAGCAAACACAATAGTGGTGGCTTAAAGCCCACCTGTGCTCTGCGCCGTCCGTTAGATGAGCCTGGTCAGATTGATAAAAGAGGGAGTTCAACACACCGGCATAAAAGTTATAACAATAATCTGATTTTAATACAGTAAAAAACACAATACGAAATACAAAGTGCCCTGAAACAGAACACTCCGGGCTCCCCGCTCTACTGCCGTGCGATACAGATATCGGGACAAGCCAGTCAGAAACAGGAGGCCTTTTGCATGAAGAAAAAACAGTATATATGGACATATTTGGAGGTGGAGAGCCACTTCTTATCTTCCACCGGACCCAACTCCTTTAATTTCCCAGGGAATTGGCTTCACACAAACTATTCTTTTAAAACAATCAAACATTGTACACAGATATATTGGTGCTTGGGATTATTCCCAGCAAGGAACCTTGAAAAAAGAACATGTGTGTGTGTTAGTGAGGGAAAGTGTATGTGTGTGTGTGTGTGTGCATGCTGATAAGCAGAGGCATATGTGTGTGTGTTGCTGATATCTGGGTTAAGGAGTTTATGTGTGTGTGCTGCATGAAGACAGGAGGAGGTGTATGTGTGTGTGTCAGGGTCTCCGGGTCATGGAGTGTAAGTAAGAAGGTTTACATATATAGGATTACTTTAAACAGTCCCAAATAATACATGTTCACTTCAATACAGTTCAAGATAATACCTGTTTACTTTAATACAGTTTAGAACAATATCTGGGTGCTTTAGTACTCACGCACACAAAGCCGTGCATGGCAGCACATCACTCCCACCCTCATCCACCTACACTGGTTGCCGGTCAAGTCCCGCATATCTTACAAAGTCCTCCTCCTTGCCTACAAGTCCCTCCATGCCCTTGCCCCCCAGTACCTATCGGACATCCTTCACCCACATGCCCCACCCCGGAACCTGCGGTCCTCAGACTCTGGCCTGCTTACCAACCCCCGCACCAAACTGCGAACCTTCGGGGACAGAGCCTTCAGTGTGGCAGCCCCTACCCTCTGGAACGCTCTCCCTGCGGAGATTCGCAACATCCCCACACTTGACGCCTTCAAAAGGGCCCTCAAGTCCCATCTGTTTGCCAAGGCTTTCGGCCCCTAAATCGATCTGTTGTTTTGTCTGTCTGACTTTTGTTTTGTTATGTTTGTTTTTGCCCTATTACTTGTAAAGCGACCTTGGGTCCCTTGAAAGGCACTATATAAATCAAAGCTATTATTATTATTATTATTGACATATCATAAACACAACTACGGTGTAGTTATGCAATGAATGAAAAACTTGTGTCACAGGTTCCTCAACAGTGCATTACAAGACATCTATCAATATGTGTGTATACCTCCACCATTAAACATATTCTGCACATTTCTTATACTATCTACATCAGGGGTGCCCAACCAGTCGATCGCGATCGACCGGTCGATCACGGGGAGATTCCCAGTCGATCGCGAGATGTGTCTAAAAATAGAACAACAATATTCTGTTTTATCGTTAATGTCCTATAACATAATCTTCCTGTGCCAGAATAATGCACTTGAATGCATCAAAGCTTTGTGATTGGCTGGCGTGACCCCATGTGTCGGGGGTGGGAGGATGATTATTTTTGTATCTATTCCAATTCAAAGTCCATCTCATCTGCAATGCGAGCGTGGCTTTATCCAAGAAGGGTAATTTAGGAGCGGCATTTCAAAACAGTGCACAAACGCGACCTGAAAGGACAGCTAAATGCACAGCAGTCCATTTCCACCAGGCCCAACAACAAGAGCAAGGCTGCTACCATAGCATCTTATCGTGTCAGTCACGTTCTTGCGAAACACATGAAGTCTTTCAAAGACGGCGAAGTTGTGAAAGAAGCATTCCTGGAGGCTGCTGACGCACTTTTGGGGACAGTAAACAACAACAATAACAGTAGCATTTCAACAGGTTTTTGATATAATAAAAACTCAAGTTAGATACCGTTATTAATCAGCTGTAAGTTTTAGTTTGTTTGAACTTATTAATTATAATTATTGTACAAAATGGTATAAGAATGCAAACTTAAATTGATTATAGTCTATTATCAATTCAGGTTAAGAAACTAGTGTTGCTTGCATCCTATTTTAAAGGCATTTCTTTTTATACAAAAAATGCAACAAAAAAAGGGTTTGATTCTATTAATTTAGTCTTTTTTATTGCACTTTGGCAGCAGATTCCTGTGTAGCTTCAGATCTGAGTTGTCTTATTAGTAAGCCTAATTTATACTTTTGTAGCAACACTATTTTTATATAATGGCAAAGAAAGGGTTCAGAGTCTTTTCTTTTTTTCCTGTGTCATATGTGGCAGCACTGTTCAATGCTTCTTGAAAACATTACCCACTGTAGTGACGTGTGAATAAACTCCAACTCTGTATCAACAACACTGTTGTGTAACTTCAGTTAAATACTTGTATGTGTGTAGTTTAGAAAGAGGTAAGATAAAGGATCTGCATTATTTTATGAGGTATTCATCGTACAAAGGTCAGTTTTATACAAGTAGAAGTGTGTATTTACCTGGTAGTAGGCTGTCAGTAATGGCTACGCCTCTCTATTTGTACTGGTAGATCTCGGCAGACTGGCAACTTTAAAAGTAGCTCTCGGTTAAAAAAAAGGTTGGGCACCCTTGGTTTAGAAAATGATTAATGTAAAAGAGGAAGTAACAAAGTTCATTAGATTTGTTACTGTGTAATATGCTATCACGTTATCAGTCCAAATATAGAGTGGGACAATAATACTGGTTGTGTAACTGGTTTCACTGCAGTGTAAAAACTGACTGTTGTTTTATTTTAGGTGCTGCCCAACAGATACCTTAACCTTTTGAATTTGTTCCTGGACAAAAGTAGAGGTATTTCTTCGCAGCTATGAGGTATCCTTTCCCTCATCTTCCAGGTTTTTCAGCTCATCAGTTATCTGATGATGGTATTTTTGCAAGTCACTAAACAAATAAAGAACATATCTTATTTATATATTTCCCTGTGATAAAATGATTAATTATAAGGTTATGAAAAGTTATGTTGGTCTTTTTTTCTGAGCAGGGTTTATCAAATTAAGAGTTTGAGTCATTGCATCTATCAGTCTGATACCACTAGGGATACTATATCCCCTTTTCTGTTTGAATTGGAAAATTATACAAGGGGATGATAAAAGCTCCCCTGCGCAAAATGCGTATGAAGTGTCATGAACGCAAGAAATCCTACCCTCGTGGGGGCGCGCTCATGTGATTGGCTTAGACTGGAGGAGACATCTGATTGGCTATAGATGAGAGAAATTACAAGTACGAATCGGCTGACCGTCATGGGAGTCTCAAAAAAAACACACACGAATGCACAGCGATCCGTGCACAGAAAGCGGTTTGTGTTTGCAGGTGCAGAGGATTTAAACGGAAAACAAATATGTGAGGATCAAAAATACATATGTAAAACTTGTTTCTGTATTTGGATTTTATTTACATGGATATGAAACGGAACACATTTGCGTGTGGATCCGGAAATACAAGTTTGAATCCTTCTGTGTGCATGTGTGTATTATGAGACTGTTCTGAGCCCATATGCACGAGCCTGACGGGCTGTCAGGAGAGGGAGAGGAAAAGAGAGCACCCTGTTTATTTTTCCCATTTTATTATCCACAGTTTCTGTAAACTTTTGAAGAAAGTAGTTCATCTACTATTAGTAGTTTGTTTAAATGCATTAATTACGTTTTTTTTTTTCCAGTCACTGAGAATAACAAAGATCCTCAGTGAAACACAAGACCATGTTTCTCACTATGTAAGTACAACTTATTAAAAAGATCAGTTCAATGCAACTAATGTCGTCTTAGTGTTATGGCATGATGTTAAAATTGGTTTGCCATGCATTTAGTGATGGATTGTAAACATTTGAAATGTAGCATTTAAGTGTTTCTCAGTTACAAGGTTGTTGTTTTAATAAATCAGACACCGATGGTGCAGCACTGTACTGTACCTCTTTAAATTAGGCATTTCTTCCCTAACAAATTGTTTTTGCATGATCAGGGGGTACTTGGCTGAATTTTATTTTCAAAGGGGGTACATTATTGAAAAAAGTTTGAGAATCACTGATCTAGGACAGTAAATTATATACATCCTTTTTACAGGAGCCACTCCCTTTATGTCAACTCCCTGATAATTATATCAGTAAATATTTTATTTGTTTTTTACCATGTGGTATAATGATCAATAATAATGTCTGAGGATTGTCAAGAGTTAGAAGGGTCATTGTTCTCGTCTTTCTTTGTGTTAATCTAAGAGTTTCTGACCACTTTCTACTGCTATAGTTTACTAACTATTCTGTGGCTTTTGTGTTCTGATCTGGACATATTTGTTACACCCGATTGCCATTTTTGACGGACGCTTTGATTTTCTACCCTGCTACACCTGCCATTGTAGCCCACCTGCTAACGCTGCTCCATCCATCAAATAACCAGCCCCATTCTTCGTCCTGCCCCTCCCCGTGGGCCCTGACTCTGGTTATTTAAACCTCCCGCTCCTGCCGGTCCCCCCATCTGCTGTAAAGGACAGCCTGCAACTGACCTCTCATCCTGTCTGACGGCTGCCAACAGCTCCACTTTCAGCGCCGCTGTTCTACAACCATAGCCAGCGCTGTGCTAACGCTAGCATCCTACCTCGGCACTACGATGTTACGATACTCTCTCTCCCAACTTTTTAATCTCAATAACTTTTCTGCGCTTCCTCTAAGCTTGTCTGTCATCAATTGCCTCTGGCTTCTACGCAGACCGAGGTATGTCCATAGAGGTTCCAAACGCAGATTTCTTTACTCCCAGTCCGGAAAATCATCCATAACATCTATCTGGTCGACTAACCGCCATGTCCAGGGCTGGACTGGGACAGCAAATCGGCCCTGGCATTTAGACCCAGACTGGCCCAAATCCATAAAACAAACGAATAGTAGCGGTTCCTGACAAGAAGAATAACTCATTATAATTTAAAAAAACGCTATTATTATCCTTTTTACGTACCAGGGGAAAACTAAACTAATACATACAACAAGTATGTGTAACTATCAATCATTAGAAATTAGACCTTCAAACCCTCTCACAAAGCGAACAGTGACCGAACAGGGGGGTCTGATGGTGGTGGAGGTGGGGATGGAGCGGATCAACAGCTTGAGCAGCTGTCAACTCAACATTGTAAATAACCAACCAAAAACGATCACCGGTTCATCTTGTTTTTGGCGTGAGAATAGTTTGGGCAGCGTGAGAGCGTGAGATTGAGAGTGAAAGCGTGTGTCACACGCTAGATGCGTGAGAGTTGGCAACCCTGGTTTACCTGCTGCAGGTGGGGCCGACTATATTTTAACTTGCCAGGGAAAACCTAAAAAAGCCAGCTTACTAGCTCGTAGGCTAACGAATGTTTCTCTTATAATATTTGTCTTATTAGTGCTTCATCAAAGGGATATTAATGGGTTTCAGAACTACAGAGCATCATAACCTTAATAATAATCTTTTGCTAATTTTCTTAGCTTCTGCTTACCGCGAGTTCTCCTCGCTCTCCCCACTCGCGCTGATCTCTCTCCCTCATCTTCCTCACCACCAATATCGGCCACGGGTTAGAAGAAGATGGACCTGCACCTGTACTAAACATGTCGGTTATTTTGACACAAGCGGCAGCATCAGCACGAAGGGCCTGCTTTTTTCTTGCCCGCAATTGTTCTGCTCCCCCTTTTCACTTGGCCTTCGCCTTCCTAACTCGAACTTTTTTTTTTCTCGAAAAAAAAGGCAGTTTGGCTTCAACAGCCGGCTCACCTCCTGGGGGCGTGATTTAATGATGCACACCGAGCGGCCAAAGGCGGAGGTGATTAAAGATTTGATTGGGCCGGCCCAGTGTCAATTATTAAAAACATTTAAACAGAGGGCCAATCTACCCGTCTTATGACTTCAGAAAAAAAAAAATGACGTGTCGGCCCAAAAGGCACGGTATGCCAGATGGCCAGTCCAGCCCTGGCCATGTCCCACAACTGTCATGTCACCTGAGCGCACTTATTACTCCATATTATACACCCACCACTGGTCCGCTACAATACCAGCTGTACCGAAAACCTGGAGTGGATCCCACTGCCCTCTGCTCAGAGCTGGCCCAAATACCTGGAGTGGATTCCACCACCCTCTGCTCAGAGCTAGCCTAAATACCTGGAGTGGATTCTACTGCCCTCTGCTCAGAGCTGGCCCAAATACCTGGAGTGGATTCCACCGCCCTCTGCTCAGAGCTGGCCCAAATACCTGGAGTGGATTCTACTGCCCTCTGATCAGAGCTGGTCCAAATTCCTGGAGTGGATCCCACTGCCCTCTGCTCAGAGCTGGCCCAAATATCTGCAGTCGATTCCACCGCCGTCAACCACAAAAAATTGATAATAACACACTTCCTTCCACCTCCTCTCCGCTCCTCCCCCCCCATCTCACATTCCACCCCGCACTGTCAACCTGGACAACCTCTTACCTCTTCAGCCTGTGACCACACCACGCCCCTCCCACTCGACTAACATTGCCCTTCTTAACATCTGATCACTCAACAAGAAAGCCCTCATCCTCCATAAACTAATCTTGGAAAAATCCCTTGTATTCCTTCTGCTCACCGAAACCTGGCAACAGCCCGATGACTTCTTCTCCCTCAACCAAACATCCCCCCCTGGCTTTAAATACATCACTAAACCCCGCCCCTCCCGCCGTGGTGGCGGCCTTGCTGTAATCCACAATCAGAACATCCAGATCACAGAACTAACCCTCCCCTCAGTATCATCCTTTGAATTCATTGCCTTCAAAGCTCCTCCCTCACTGACAGTCATCCTCATCTACTGGCCTCCTAAACCTCATCCCTCCTTCCTCTCCGATTTCACTGAATTCCTCACACTTCCCTCTCTCAACGTCTGTTATTACTTGGTGACCTCAACATTCATATTGACTCACCCACCAGCAAGCTGGCATCCAAATTCACAACCCTACTGGACAATTTCTCTATCACCCAACATGTCACATTTCTCTATTCACAAACATAGCCACAACTCTTGTAAATAAATTACCCTCCCACTCAGGGCTTTTTGGAGTAGATCACATCATGACCTACTACAAAAACCTAGGGGTACGCAAAGATGATTTCAGCAAGGGTAACAACAGCAGAGGTACTCATTAAACTGAGCGCCCTCCAACCTAACAAGGCCATTGGCCACGACAATATCCCCTCCAAATTCCTCAGAGACACAGCAACCGCCATCTCACCAGTCATAGCTCACATAATTAACCTCTCCATAAAACAGGGAAAAGTACCCAAAGACTTCAAAATTGCAAGAGTAACCCCCCTGCACAAAAAGGGCAGCAAATTGGACCCAGGCAACTACCGCCCTGTTTCTATACTTACCTCCATCTCGAAAGTCATGGAAAAAATAGTATATGAACAGGTCGAAAAGTACCTCGCGGAAAATAAACTAATCTATGAATTTCAATCTGGCTTTAGAACATCCCACTCCACTGACACATGCCTTCTTTATTTGAGCGACCACATCAAACAAGAGGTGGACGAGGGCAAGTACTGCAGCATGGTGATGCTGGACCTACAAAAGGCTTTCGACACTGTCAATCACCCCATTCTGATTGACAAGCTAAAAGCAATTGGTTTTGATAAACTATCGGTGAGCTGGATGCAATCCTACCTGGAGGGGAGAGAACAGATGGTGGAGGTAAACGGTACTCTGTCCCCCCCCCCTCCCAGTGAGCTGTGGTGTTCCACAAGGAAGCATATTAGGTCCGTTACTGTTCCTAATTTATGTAAATGACATGTCATCAGCATGTGACTGCAACTTGTTCCTGTTCGCGGACGACTCAGCCCTGCTGGTCTCTGACAGGAACAGGTTGCAGGTTGAAAAAACCCTCAGCTCCGAGCTCGGCAGAATCTGCACCTGGCTCGCCGATAATAAATTATCATTACACCTGGGTAAAACAGAGTCCATTCTCTTCGGTTCGAAACATAATCTCAGCAAATCCGACGACTTCTCAGTTGCAGTGGGCGACATTATTGTCACAAGTAAGAAGGAAATTACATACCTAGGATCTATTCTTGAGGCAAACCTCTCCTGTGACAAAATGGCATCCAATGTAATAAAAAAAGTAAATCAAAGAACTAGATTCCTATACCGGATCTCCTCTCTGGTAAACAAAAACACCCTGAAAACTCTGGCAGGAGCACTCATTCAAGGGTACTATGACTATGCTTGCACATCATGGTACCATAGCACCTCCAAGGCGCTAAAAATAAAACTTCAAACATCGCAAAATAAACTGGTCAGACTACTGCTTGACCTTTCATCTAGAACCCACCTCACCTCTGCCCACTTTGACAACCTAGGATGGCTTAGAGTAGACGACAGAGTACAGCTACTTGCAATGGGCCTGGTCTACAAGATCCACTACACCTCTATGGTACCCATGTACATGTCAAAATTCTTCCCAAAGGTCAAGGAATACCATGATCATAACACCAGAGGGAGCTCCACAAATCATGTGAAACCCAGATTTGGCACAAAAAAGGGGGAATACACGTTTCGCAATTATGCCACATCAAGGTGGAACGCTCTTCCCACAACTGTAAAGGAAAGTAAAACTATACTTACCTTCAAAACCTCTCTTAAAGAGCACCTTCGGGGGAGAGCATTGCAAAACTGGCCCCGGTATTAAAACTTGGATGCAACATAACCTCCTCAAACTGAACAGCAACAAAACAGAACTCCTCCAAATCGGCTCC